TAGGCACCTGGAACAAATGCTGGACACAGGCGGCAGACACAGAAGAGGGGACCCGGAGCTTGTCACAGGAGGCGAGCTTCAAGAGAAGAGAGTGACCCTGCAGCATGGTCTGCAGACCAGAGTCACAGCGTCATCATTTGTCAGAAACAGAATTCTGAGTGGAGTCCCAACCTACTGCATGAGCCTGTAGGTAAACAAGACCCCGGGAGATTACCATGCATGTTGCAGTTGGAGACGGTCCAGTATCAAGAATACCTCGTTTTCCTCTGGGAGTCCCGATGAACCTCCCGTTGGGCCCTGACGTGCTGTGTGAACACCTTCTCTACATCACCTTCCTTCTTCCTTAGCACAGAGGCAGCCAGGTGCCCTCCAAGACCCGAGACTGTCTGGGGTGTGGGCACCCTCTTTCTTTGCTCCCCTTTGTGGGTGCTAAGTCCTTTTGTCTCCTCCGAGGGCATAGTTCCTTGGGAGAAATTTTACCATCATTTCAAAATAATTTTTAGTTACTTTTTTCAATCACTCGTGCATAAACTAAAACTTTCTGTCCTTTGGGTGCAGCCTTCTTTGGTCCAAGCAGAGCCACATGACCCAAGCTGGCTTCCTCAGCTCACCAACAAGGGAGACAATTACTCATTGTAGTCTTTAGGAACAGCAAGCAAATGTGCCAAATGAAGTCAAATGTAGGATTCAGATAATATACGTGTCATCATATATCTGGAAGACTTCACGGGTATAACACAATGAGGGCTGACAATACTTTTCTGTACTAACAATATGTTAGATTATTTCTGCATTAGTCATTTTCCCCCAATTTCATTAAGGCAGAGAAAACTGTGCATCATATAAACTATCAAAGAATAATAGCTATAATTTTTCTTTGGAAATGCTGTTCAAAAGGTACTGCCAGAAACACACTGTACTCTTAAAAATTGTCCTTAAAAAAAAAGAAGAGGAAGAAGTGCTTCACAGGATCCCTTGATCTCTCTCTGCTAACACAGCCCCCGTCCACCCACACCCTATCAACCCTGCGCCTACATTTGTCTGCTTCCACAACCTACACCTCCTTAAAATCCCTGAAAACTGTAGCAATAGTTGGAGCTTTGGAAGTCATCAATGACAATTTTGTTTAATCCTTTAAAATCTGTCACTTAAAAAAAAAAGTCCTAATGGTTTCTAATGAAATAGCTATGTCTGTGATTCACAGATGGCTTGCTCTTCCCTGGGTCGAAGCAACATTTACACTTGGATCTCAGATAAGAACGCTCTGCCCCAGAGTGCACACAGTCTTGGTGGAGAGCATCTCCTCCCCTCTTCCCTGGTTGATGAGAAGCGTCCTTTCTCATGAGCATGCATCCAAACCCGAACCCTTGGGCTGGTCTGGTTAGGATGACCTTGACGTTCGAGATTCCCTGTAGCACCCTAGGACGTGGTCAGACAGGAGGTTCACTCTCCTGTGTCTTCATTCATCACAAGCATCAGTGCAAGTGCACGACCAAGTTCAGAAGGGTTTCTGAAAAACAAACTCAAAAATACTCATCAATTGCTAATTCCTCCTCCTAAGAGAGAAGAAACACCTCAAAGAGCATCTCCAAATATTTGCCAATCCACAAATTATAGAGTGCAGAAGACTATAAAGCAAAGTGGCTCATGGGGTATCTGCAACGTGAGCTCAACTAGTGGATGAGGATTTTTTAACAGCCACCTGAATTCAACGGTGGCCTCCTCTCTTCACCCAGGATCCCTCGCCTCAGCAGGGCAGATCTGAATGGGCACAAGGACACCTGAAGCCCGCAGGAGCTCTGGGCGCAGGGCTACCCTCCCTGCTGCCCCTCCCTGGCACTCACCTACCTTCCTCCTGCTGATACCCAGCGGGACCCCAGCTCTATAGCCATGTAGATCCACCTGGGACACCACCTGCGTCCACTTCCCACTTCCCACCACAGATGCTGGGAAAGCTCTGACCCTGTGGGAAAGTCCAGGGCCTCTTCTCCACTGGGCCGCCTCCTACCGCAGTTGCCTCCTCTGACCCAAACTGGCTCTTTCCTGGAAATGCTCTATTGTGCGGATTCACTTTTTCTCACTTCCTTTTCCTTAGAGGAGAAGGGGCCAGCTGGTGCCCGCTGTGATCTCTGGCTGTGGCGCTGCTGGGCCTTCGTCACACCCCTCTCCTTCTCTCCCCTGCTGCCGACTGCCTTCCACCACCCAGGCTGCGTTGCTGGCACACTCTGGGTCTGGTTAAGAGTGCAGCTTCCCTGTCCCGTGTTTTCATCCCAGGTGGTATTGTCAGCCCTCTCTGACTCATCTCAGGCAAAACCTTTGTGATTCCTCTTCTATTTCTCCCCCTGCCCAATCTGAATCCACCCTTCCCACTCCCTATGCCTGGTGCATTTCAGACACAGGACCTGATCTGCGGGGCTGTAAATGTATCTAATCTTCTCATGGGGTCTTACACCTGCCTATGATAGGAGAGGTGGGTGATCCCTCACAGACGCTCGGGACACCTGTGGAAGGCAGCAGAGCCCAGCAGAGGAGCGTGGAGCCTGCTGAGGGACAGGAGTGCCCGCTCCACCCTGAGGGCCAGCAGGAGCAGCCTGCAGTATGGACTTCCACGTCCATACCACTCACGGGCCACCTTGTGCCTGGCCACAAGCCTCCTGAAGCTCGGCCCCGTCCATTCTCCAGAGTCTCAGAACTTTATCAATTTTTTTTTTTTTGTAAAATTCAGACCCAATCTTCCTTAAATCTTCCAGCATATCCTGATTGCCCACAAGGAAATTCTCCACATTTTTCCTGGACTGCCCCCAGGGGTGGCCTTGTCCCTCCTTACTGTCCACACAGCCATGCCCGGACCATTGTCCTGCTGAGGTCCTGCCTTCCACTGTTCCTACCTGTGTGTCACATGCATCTTCTCTGCCTTCCCAAGGTGCCCTGGAGAATTCCCACTTATTAAGCGTAGTTCTCTGAGAATCCTAGCTGCCCACATCTTGACCACGACCCCTCTGAAATGCTGTGCTGCCTGGACGTGATTCAGGCATCGTACTGGGCTTGTATTATGGCTGGAGCTTCTCCCTGCCAGCCCCTCCTCAAGAAACTGGGAGCTCCCTAGGGCAAGCCTCCCTCTCCCCCACCCCTGCTTGGCACCCAGGCCTGCACAATGTTTGATCTGAACCTAGTTTGGTTTTCTGAGTGGTTGCTAGAGATGCCCCCTGGAGAAACCTTAGTCATTTTGTCCAGCTGCCTTCCTGCAAGGGTCTCCACTTAACTAAGGAGCGGGTTCCACATCACCTCCTTCTAGTCACTGTGCAATCAATCGAATGGATGTAGCTTACCATGCTGGCTTTTAGGAATTCTCTGTTGCAGTTATCTTCATCAATGGTAGTACATTCAGACAAGTTCAGATGCTTCTAGAGCTTTCCATAGAAACACATTTGATGTTATGCCAGAATTTATTTTTATAACTCAGGGAGAACATGTCCGTCACATAGCATGCAGTGTTGCTGGCTCATGCTTTTGGAGTTTCATATTGGAACCCAGGTTTATATGCATTTTGCCTGGGGACTCAGTTTGCCACCATCAGTGATGGGCAGAGTGATATGCTTGCTCCTTCCCTCCACCTGGCCCACATATCTGTCTGCAGAGTTCACAGCCAGGACCAGCTGTTCTTCCCGTGGACTGCCAAAATAAGTTGATAGTCGGAAAGAAAAGGAAAAAAAAAAGACCACAAATTTTATGGAACATAATTAGGGAGAGAGAATGGCAATCCAAGGAAGAAAAAAGTAACAACACTCAGTAGCCACCCACCTATGCCTCCAATTTCAGCCAGTTCAAAGAAAACTGAAGGAAGATGCACATCTAGTCAACCAGAGTGCTCTGAAATAGGCCAGTAGCGTGCACTTTCCCCACACATCTACATAATCAGCCAGACCCCAAGATGCCAGGCTCAGGCCACGGTCTCTGGCAGTCAGTCAGTCCTGCATATCAAGACTGTGGCCAAGGGGAGTATGAGATGGACAGGTGGGCTGTGACAGAATGGGTTTGCAGTCAACTGCTTCCCAGCAAAGAGGTTCGTTAAGCATCCCTGGGCACACGCTCTGAAGCCCTTCCAGGACCTGATGGTGTGAAGATGCGTGCACACCTGGGTGTAGTTGACACTGGTGCAGCCCAGGCATCAACCCTGTGAAGCCCAGATCCTGCTCTAGGGCAGCCTTCAGTCTTCTAGCTCTGACCGTGTTTGCCTCAAGTGCCGAGAATGTGCCTGGGAGCACCCGCAGGAGGGCCCTTCCCCACTGGGCAGAGTGTCACCTGCCAGCTCCCTGGCACTTGCATTAGATCCCAGGGGCTTTTCTGCCTTTATTCAAGTCGTTCGCCTCAGAGCCCAGGGAACGCCTGCCAGGAGAGGTGCCGTTTCCTAGGAAAGATGCACAGGGCACGAGAAAAGTCTTAAAATTGTGAGCATGTCAACTTTCCATGCTGGGTTATGGGAATTTTCTGTGGCAGTCATCTTCGCTAATGGTGGTATATTCAGACAAGCTTGGATGCTTCTAGAGCTTTCTGTAGAAACTAATTTGATGTCATGCTGAAATTTATTTTAGAATTCTGGAGGAGCTTGCCCATCACACAACCCAGGAGATGGTGCCCAGACAAGGCTCTCCAGGGTCTTTTTTTTACTTCTGTGCTGAAATTAATAATCGCAGACATATAAAGATTCCACTTATTGTAATTCATGGCGTAGTGGGAAAAATAATTGAAATGAAACGATCGAGGTGTCAGATTTAGGTTTAGTTTCGGTCTCTTCGCGGGTCTGTTCTCCTCTACGCGGCTCAGCCTCCCTGCTTTGGGTGGAGCAGGGAGCCTCCCCCAGGAACAGAGAACAGAGATCTTCAGGCGGATTCAGGGCCAGCACCAGGCCACCTCATCAGTACGTGCTGCTCTCCTGTGATCGCCCCCGCCATCACTGTACTCTCCACGCTGGTGAGCGTCTCCCCCTGCTTGCCTTTCAGGTGGGCGTCCGCAAGGTGTTCCTGAAACACGGGCATGCCGACCAGCTCCACAGTCTCTGCCTGCAGCTGCAGAGGAGCATCATAACCTGCCAGAAAGGTAACTGTCACTCCAGCTCTCCAGACCCTTGAGCCGCGTTTTCAAAATCATTGGGTGCACCCGAGTTTAAATGTCAGTCACATCCACACGGCAGCAGGTCACCTGTCCCCGACACTACAGTGGGGGCGGGGAGGCACAGTGGCCCAGTTGGCTACTTACCTGCCTCCTCTGGAGGGTTTATAGACACTGCTGGTGTTCTATTGAGTACCTTCCTGTGGAACTTTGTATTCAGTTTTCACCCCAATCACAATTGGAGGAGAGAATATACACCTGGTTGTTTATCACAGCTGTTCAGGATTAATGACTCTTACAAGAAGCACCAGGCAATAAGACTGTACCTTGGAATCTTCAATGAGAAGAACCCTCCATCTGGCACTTAGCTGCAGAGAAAGGGCCACATTCCCAAGCCGTCTCAGTGGGGGCCAACAATGTGCCAATTTGGAGAACTGGGATCAGCCAACTAGCCAGGCCACATTTTCCAAGCCTCCACATGAGCCTTGGGGAAATTTTTTACTCATTTTTCCTTTATGAAGGGATAATATCTATAGTATCTTCAATAGTCGATAGCATCTATTTTGTTGTAGCTTTGGGACACATTCTATTTAGAATTTGTTTTCTAACAAAATCTAATCGACTATTTAAAAAAACACACATCTCTTATAAAATGTTTCTGCTTAGTAGAAATTTTTAAAATTTTAATGTGTTTAATAGTTTAATTGCTTAGAGGGGGCAAAGGAGGGAGAAGTTAACCTGTATGCTAGCTTTTGGTAGGACTTACAATGAACTTGGTTCTGTGATTATCTGAAACGGGTGTTCCAACACGGAGCCTGGCAGGGTGCCAACCTCAGCTTTACAGTTGAATCCCCCACCCAGCTCCTCTGTGGGATGTGTCTGGGTCTGATCCTTGAAGACCTTTCCACGGGCCCCATGGATCTCTGATGATAGGAAGTCCTGCTGTGTGCTGGTCCTTCAACAGGTCCAGTCAAGTAATGATCCAAACCCCAAAAACTCTATCCAGGTCAAAACACCCCCCTTGGCCATTTCAGGCCTGGTGTGTCCAGAACATTCCATGATACTGGGGGTGTGTTCCCACTTCCTGTGTACTTGGTGCCTCTGGATCCTCCCGGCTGAGAGGAAGAGCAGGCAGGGGAAGGACAGGTCTTCCCTGGACACAGTGTGACTCCACACTGCTCTCCCTGCTGAGGCCCGTTGTATAATCAGGAGCACTTCACCCATCCTGGGGCCACTAGCCCGCAGCCCTTGGGTACCCAGCAGCCCTCTCTCTCAGCAGCATCTCTTTCTTGAAAACCCCCTTGTTCCTGAGAAGCAGGTGCTCAGACCTCTCCACAGTGGCAGCTGTCCCTGACCCTTCCTGACCTGCAGCCCACCTCTCTGTCCACCCAACTCGAGCTGTCAATACAACAAGCTCTCTGGGGAGTCTGAAGCCACATGTCCAGCCTGGGGTAGTGGAAGCCTTCAGTGAGGAGGGGGCTGGTCTTACCTCAGTTCAGAATGCATCTTCTCTTTGCAGATGATAATCTGCCCTGTAAGGTCACCCCTCACTGGGCCACAGGTCCGTTTTGAACTCCTCCTTGGCACTCCCCATTGGTGTTATTTGCCCTGCACCCACCCAGATGGTCTCTGAGCCCCTGCAGCTGCTACCTCACTGGGGGTCAGTTAGAAACCTAGTGTCCCAGCCCCACCTGCAGGCGTTAAATCCAAATCTGTATTTGCAGCCACAACTAGAATCAGGAATAGGGAAAGTTCCACTTAATATGTTAAAAGCTCAGAGAGGGTGTCCCAAATGCTCAGGAAGTTCTCCTTGAATAACTGCCCTGTCTTCCACTAGGACACCCACTAGAAATGCCCCTTCTACTTAGTGCCAAACACAACTGACACAGGCCAGAAGAAATGCAAGAACTCCAATTTTTTTGGTCACCTTTCTAAAGATAGAACCTGAGAGTGGTCTAGAAAATGGTGTCAGGGTAATAAACATAATTCCATGCAGCATAAATGAAATAATGGATATGAAAGCACTTTCAAAATTATGGGCTCTTAAAGGCAAAGCATTCATTATTGATTTTTATTTTTACATCTCTTAGAATCTCTTATATTTTTATTTTTAAATCCCTCAATATTTTTTGCTGATGATAAGTTTACTCAAAATTTATACAATCTGGAGTCATTTCCAGTTTCTAAGGAGTTCCATTTTTTAATTGCAAGTGTCTGGAGGAAAGAAAGCTATAAATTTTAGTTTTAAATTTAATCACTATAATTTCAAATTGTTCCTACTGGAAGTTTTCTATGTATGTTCCTCTTATTATAGATGAAAATGAGTAGAATAAATGAAAACCTCAACATGGTTGGTCATAGAGGCAGGATTTAGGAATTGTCAGGAGGACAACATATACCATATTCCATTTGTGGCAAGTTTATTTTCATAAACTGTCTTTATTATTAAAGATTCTGACTTTTAGCAACTGGTATAACATTTTTGAAGGGTGTTAGAAGGCCACTAGTTGAAGAGAAAGTGGAGGCCTCTGGATGTGGACAGTCCATTCACAGGTGGGATGTGAACCCAGTGGAGAGTTGTACTTCAGGAGATCCAAAGGCGTCTGGCATATCCACGAGCATCTTCCCTTTTATTGCACGAGATGAGACATCTGGAATACACTCTCACCTTCACTCTCCAAAAGTCAACCCCTCCCCATCTCTTTCTAAAAATAACAAGAAAGAGCAGGTGAACAGGTCAAGATAAGGTCCTCCCTCTTCTCTACACCCATGACATGCTTAATACTTCTTTATTTCATTTCATGTACAGTCCTGAAAGTCTGGGGCACCCTTCACTGTTTCACTGTTTGTTGCTTACATTAGTTCAGCAGCAGGGTTTTACGATTAACTCGGTGCAGCTGCATTCCTCAGGAACTCGACATTTAGTATTGCCACCTGAGAAGAAAGGAAAGGTTTACCATGTGGGAGCCTGTGTCTTCTTTTCCTAACTGGAAGATAGTTCCATTCAGCTTCCACCGTCTGAATAAGGGGAGGCATCAAAGCAGAATCCTCAGCTGACCCTGTGTGTTGCTCCCTAGCCTGGGAATGTTTTAAGGTCCTTCATGTTCCGTAAGCCTCTGCCTCCCCAGAAGACAACAGGAAGTGTCTGCCGTACACATGGGTCTTCCCTGGAATTAGTGGTCCTCTTTCATCCACAGATCTTAGAAACTGAGAGTCAGAAGGCAACAGAGGAACTGAGAGACTCTGCCTGGAGCCACACAGCCTGCCCCTGTGCAGGGCCCTCACCTGTCCCTGCAGCCCCAACAGGAAGCCTTTCTGTGCTTGTCTTGCCCACACTCAGGGCCCCGGAGCCGCTCCCTAGGCAGGCCTGTCCCTTTCTATCCTGGGCTTACTGTCAGAGAGTCCTTCCTCCTATTGATTGAAGATGTGCTTCCCGTGACTTTGATGATCTGTACCCCCTGGAGAGCCACAAATCACATCTTTGTGACTGCAGCTGAGGGGCTGGAGACTGGCCTCAGGGGCAGTCTGCTCTCATTGGTGGTCTTCATCAGCAGGAAATAGTGAGACTAAGGAAATTTCATTATCATTGTGTCCAAAATGGGCATAATGATTCTTTTCAGCATGAAATGATGCAATAGATCGCCTGGGACATGTGGGTGCCTCGTAGTAGGGGTCTTTATTTTTATTTTCAATTCTTGGGTGATCTCAAAGTATTCTCACTCACCTGTTTCCCCAGTTTTTACACCTTTTCCCCCACCTTCCTTTCTGGATAGCAGGAGGGATGTCCCCTATTTCCACGAAAATCTTTCTAGAAACTTCCCACTGTGTTGGTTTCCCCAGGAGTTAAATCAAGGTCCTAGAAATGAAATATGCATGATATTTCAAAAACTAACTCCACGCACCTTGATGTTTCTGGAATAATTTGATATCATGGAAGGAAACCAAGACATTCCCAAACCGTGTAGTAGGAGCTGCTCCCACAAATGCTCTGGAGTTTGGAGCTGGTTCTTGCCCATTGGCATCCAGCTCGTGTCACCAAAAACAATGTGGGAAAAGCTGTGTTACCTACTTGATCCGCAGTCCCTCAGGCAGGTCAAGAATGGTTACCCTGAGTGTGGTCATTACTGAATTCAGATATCCTTCTTAATAAGAGATGGCAATGCTTAGTAAGCTCTTTTCCTGGGTTAAACGTACCTTATTTTGCAGTCGTGATTCTTGTTTGTGTTGTGTCTGGGCTTCCTCCCTCATGTTATGTCCGCTGACCCAGGGTGTGTTCTTTTATGAAGTCATACGAGGGTTTCTAGCACGCCAACACCTGCTTCAGAGAATGAGCATCAAACAGCAAGAAGTCACATCCATCAAGAGCTTTCTGCAGAACACAGAGGACAGGGCACTGCAAGCCTACGACGCCCTGGTCATTCAGAACGCCTCCGACATCGCCCGGGAGAATGACAGGCTCCGGAAGGAAATGAATGGTCCGTACCCTAAAGAGAAGGCCGCTGCCAGGAGCAAGCAAGAGGAAGGAGCCAGAAGGTAAAGGCAGGTAGTTTGCAACTTCAGTGACCTCGGTGATGGACACCCCCCGCAATCCCAGAAATGCTTGTCCTGTGCTTTCTTTTCAGGAACTAGATGCTGTAGTCATATGAAATTGCTATTGCTTCCTCTGCTGTGCTTCTGTCGCTAAACTGCCTTGAGGTCTAAGTTTTAAAGCAAAATCAATAGTAAAAACTAATAGCTGGATTTTTTTTTTATTTTTAGACAAGTGTGATATATATATATAAATGTCTGTGTGTGTGTATATATATATATACACAAACATACATACATACACACACATATATGTACATTTATATATGTATATATATATATTAGAAGGCTGATAGAAATTTTTGGAAATTTTAGCAAACAATTGAGATACCACTCTGATAGTGAACTCAGTAAATAGCTTATACATATTATATTTTCCTGTGTAAACGATCATATTTTCTTGGCCAATAAAGAAAGCTTTAGAAAAAAAAGCTTTTCATTTAAAAGTTTACTTGGGACACTGAGCCTGGAATAGAAACACAAACAGAGCCAGGACTCTTCGTGATTGTTCCCTCCCTGTGGGTGACAGCACACCTGAGAACCACAGCACCCCTCAGGGAGGGCAGAAAGGAATGACTTTCCAATTCGTGGTCAGAGAGGTGTTCATTTTTCCTGGGGACCTTGATAATATCTCCTTTCTCTCTGAAAGCAGCTCTCCTCTGCCATGACTGCCTATGTCAAGTGATTTTTTGTTAAAGAGGAGATGGCAATGTGTCTCTTGCTAATTAGCCTCAAATATCTCCATGATTAAATACTGAAAAAATTCCCTTTGTATGGAAAACTGTAATTAAACATTACAGGGAAAACAAATTATCCACTGAGTGCCACACTGTCATCTCCAGCGACTTCATTTTCTACATGGGCGGCTGGCTCTGCCTGGTGGAAGATTCCAGCCCTGTTGGTGTTCCGCCACAGAAAGATGTAATTATAAAGCAAGTGCTCGGGAACTCCTTGTGAGATGCACGCCTTGGCATCTTGCTAGTACATGATTACATTGACATGTGAAGCCAGAGGAACTTTTTAAACCAGATAACTATTAATTTTAAATGACTTCCAGAATAATATTTGTTATTTTCCCTGCTGGAACTCAACCATCACCCCAATTTCTCAATTTGATGATGTATTTATTTGCCTGATATAAAATTAAGTGAAGAAGCATTTGTCTATTTCTTGAATACCAGCCGTTCGCTTGGCACTAGACATCCATATGGAGTCATAGGGCAAATAATAGTTCATTGCATAATTAAATAATTGCTGGTAGAATTTAAATGGCAAGAGAGAGGCGGGGGGCCAGAGTGTAGGTCTTTGAGGGTTTTGAGTAGCGTGTGTGCTGGTTTTTCAGAGGGAGAGGATGATGAACTCCCACCATTCAATGCCTCAGTAACTCTCTATTAAGATGGATTTCCCAGAAATTACCATTCAGATTGAAATTCTGGGTTTTTGATTTGCTTAAGAATCAGACTGTGAAAAATTCATTCACTGAATGCCTGATAGAGAATGGGAAGCCTCTTAAGTAGCTGGTTTGCGGGAGAATTGAGAATTTCAAGAAGCAGCCTGATGACCGTGCTGTGTGCCCATTCGTCACAGCAGGTGGGCTGCGGCGCTCTGGACAGCCTGTCCCTCATCCTCCTGACCCAGCATGATGGCTGTCTGGAAGGAGCCCTCCTCGGTCAGCCTGAGCAGGTTCCTTGTTGTCAGCTGAATAATAACCTCCGAGCCTCTCTCTGAGTCTGTTTGTGTTCTGTTTCCTCCAAGAGCTGAAGACCAGGGTGGGTCCTGGCACGTCCACTCCAGCTCGGTCCCCCTCCCCATGGCGGTGGACAGCCTGGCCCAGGCTCTTGCTGGACCATCCATCCGGTCTCCATCACTGCACTCAGTGTTCAGCGTGGATGACAGCAGTGGCCTCCCGTCACCACGGAAACAGCCTCCGCCCAAGCCAAAGAGGGACCCCAGCACCCGGCTGAGTGCCTCCTACGAGGCTGTGAGCGCCTGCCTCTCAGCGGCCAAGGACACAGCCAGCGAAGGTCAGCTGGGTGAGCGTAAAAGACGGGCCTGGCTCACAGACCTCCGTCTGTGAGCGCCCCACGGCGCTATTGTGGCCCTCATGTATTTTTAATAGAAATAAATCCAATTGTTGGCTTGCCAGCAGCCCTTTAATCATTAAATATAACTAATATTTATTCCAATCTCTAAGCCTCTTAGGGAAAAGCTACTTACATGTCATTTCCTCCACTCCCAGCCCCACCTCTGCATTGAGTTTGCAGCCTCAAGGCAGAACCAACAAAAAGTTGGTCGCTACTCCATGTAAATTTCCACTAAGTAAAAGGTTAAAAAAATGCATCGGGCTTTCCTATGTTCACAGTCTAATTAAAAATTAAGCCCACTTTTTCATGTGGTGAGTGAAGCAACCTCACAGAGGAGAATAGTTGCAATGAAATTAAGTTAAACAAAAACTTCTGAGACTCGATAGAAAAGTCTTTACACTGATGGTTTTGAAATATTTATGCAAAAAGGGGTAATGGCAGTGTACTGTCCATCCAATCTCTCATGGATTAGCATGTGCTACAATCATGGTTTAATTGTTCATGTTTAGAATTGTGACTAACACAGGAAGTGCTCTTTGTCAGACCATTTAGGAACAGCAGTTGGCTGACCATCTGCTGTGGGCGGGGCCCCATTCTCTGCACACACGTGTATGGTATCTTCCTTCATGGAGCCTACGTTCCACAAGCAAGAACAGATGTGGACACAGTAAGCAAGTGAATGCATGAGGATTTTAGCAAGAGGCCTTTGCTGTAGACAGAGATAACTAGTGCCGGAGTGGAAGTGAGGGCAGGGACAGGAGGCAGGATTCTAAATGAAATGACTGAGTAGATCTCGGGAGGAAACAGCTTCTGAACACAATTGAAACACAGTTCCTTTAGTTAAAAACAAATAAGATGAACCAAATATATAGCAACACAACATAACCAAATACACAGCAAAACAATATGCTCCACTTAGGGACAAGATGCAGGATCCTGGAAGTGGCCCTGGCTTCTGACCATGGGACAGAAGCCTTAAGCAACAGGAACATCCGGGCTTCTTTGAACTACTTCTCCTTAGTGACTGTGAGAAAGAACAGATATTTAGGGGAATTTTTAACTACCAAGGAAAAAAGTTGTTTTAACGTGCAAATCATGTAAAAGCAACACCTAGGTGTAGGTGTAGGAGAAATTCCTACCTCTGTGGTGAGCAGAGATGGTACCTATTTGCAGCATCCTGTAAAAGCGGCAACAGCAAGAGCTGGAATGTGACATCCAGGGGTCATGGAGGACATTCTTCCCAGTTGATGCCACTAGACAGAGAGAGACAGAGAGAGTTAGAACTTTCCTCCCAGGAAGTCGGGTGCTGCCCTAATGTGCTGCACACAGGGGGAAGCTCCTATTGAACAGGCCGGCAGTGTTCTCCCCTGGAGAGTGCTACAGACAGTCACCACCATTACGCCGTCAGACCTCTGTGCAGAGCTTCTAGTGTAGATCTCAGAAAGTAGTGGCTGAAATTAGGGGAGAGAAATTTTGGCACTGTGGGTGAGGAAGAATCATATCTAAGATTTTAAGACTAGTGAGGTAGGGAGAGTGGGAAATGAACATTCAGGACAGTATGAGAAAAAATACAAAGAAAGATGGAAAATCACAGTGTATACAGAGTGGAGCCTCGACCCCACTTGCACACTGAGGTAGCTCTGTGAACGAGCTCAGCAGGCCACAGAGTAGCTTGAGAAGTCCCACAAAGCCGGAGGGCTGCATGCTCATTACAGGGCCCCTGCCCCGCAGTTGAGGTTTTGGAGTGGTCAGGCATCAACAGTCGAGGGACTAGGAAAGGAGAAAAGGTAGGAGAGGCTGAGCTCCAAACGGAGTGTAAGGTCTTCCACGTGGGCAGAAAACAGCGTCAACTAAGAAGGCCTACTCAGACCTCAGGAGACACAAGCTGCAGATGAAAGGTGAATGACCAAAAAGGGAGGAGGGGGGTGGGAAAGAGAATGCAGGGGAAGCAGGGTGCAAGACTGCAGGCGCAAAACTGTGGAAAGTCCTTTCTGCTGCTCATAAGGCACCAGGACACCTTCCTTAGACCCATAAGGGGCTTACGTACACTTTGATTTCTTGGAACCTGGTTTCAGCTCACATATGTCCATTAGTTGCTTAGAAAATTTCCCCAACTCTGCTCTGTTGTAGGAGCCTGTGACAGGGCGAGGAGGCACACAGTTCCCTTTCTACCATCCACGTCCTACGTTCCTTCTTACAACACAGAATTCCTAATACTGATTACTTTGCAACCACAAAAAGAAAGTCTTGGGTCTCCTGGGAACAGAGATGCATTTCTGCACTTTGGGAAATGCTCTAAAGATATTCTTACAATTTAAAAATTAAGCTGCCTAAGCACGATTGCTGGTTAAGTTGTGTAGGATTGCAAAGTCAGAAAGGGCTGTGAGGGACTTAAGTCTCTCAATGTGTCAGTGTTCCAGATTTCTGGTCACAAAACATACCTACACCCATAAGTGATTAGCCAGAAGCTGCAGTGGCTCTGGTCCCATCTATGCTCTTGTGACAGGAGTAGGACACTATACTTTTGTGTCTGAGTCATCTTAGACACTTCCTTCAGTACCAAAAATTTCAGCACAATCTAAACCTGTGCCTGCTGACATAGTGGCCAATAGGCACATGCAGCCATTCAATCTGAGAGTTGCTAAAATTAACTGTGATTTTAAAATGTCTGTCCTCAGCCAACAGCCATATTTCAAGCACTAGATAGCCACAGGCATAGAACTTTCCACCATCACAGAAAGCCCTTCTAGACAGCTGTCATCCTAAACATGCCATGTTTCCACCAAAGAGCTGTGGGGTTATTTTGCCTCTAGTAACAAGTCACAGTCTTCCTCATTTCTGTCAATAGGTAGGGAGAACATTAGTCACCCTTTAAAATGCTTTGTGAACCCTGGTTTCACAAGAGCAAGGCCTAAGCTAGGGTTTGTAGATTACCAAGGCTATTCTGTTTGCCTTGTTTAAAAAAAAAAAAGTCAAGTTCTTTCCCTTTGTACAAAAAGCTGTTAATCAAGTCAGAGGCTGCAAAGTGAAAGGAGATGATTGATGAACAAAGGCCAGGGACTGCAGAGAAACTGGTAATGAGGCTGTTCCAGGTTGTCTTTGGGTTTGGTCTTGTTCCTATTGGCACACGCCTTTCCTATAGGCTGTCACCTCATCAACAGGGTTGCAATAAAGAATAGCAGTATGGAGAGCTCATTTTATTTCACTACCTTTGTGCCTCAAAAGCATGAATCAATTCACAGACCAATAAATTTTAGCACTTCTTTGCAAACTATTAACAAGCTATGTCAACTATGTGAAAGGACCATTTTTCCCAAAGTCTGGGGTTTCCCTTAGCAAACAGTGGCTAGGGAAGGAAGGTCAAGGCCCACTTTCCCTCTTCCTGGAGGGAGCTCCTAGCCAGCATGCTTCTCCCTCTTCCTGAGTGTCACTCTGTGCCCACAGGTCAGCCTTCCTCCCCACACAGTGCACATCCTTCCCACAGCAAGGGAAATGAGAGTCTGTTTGTGGCCTTGCAGAAGTGACCAGGGCTTTCCAGGCCCATGTGAATCAAGAGGCAGCAACAGTGACCCACAGCACAGGTTCGGTTCGATGTGGGAATAAAGAAGAGGGGGCAGAGCCCCATCTCCTGGGACACCAGAGTGTGCCACAAAGCTCCGAGGTCACAGGTGGTTCACAACACCCGTGAGGGTCGGTGAACTGAGCACTAAATCCTAAGTGAGAAACGGAGCTCCAGTAATGAGGTGGTGGAGCAGGGCCTGCTGAGTGACCACTGCTGCAGGTGAAACAGAGGCAGGGTGCACCTGCAGCTCTCACCCCTGATTGGTTCTGGGAGGACACTTCCACCCACAGCTTCCCTTCAGGTCCCTGGGGCCGCTCCCTTGGAGAAAGCACCTTAATCAGCCTCTAAACTGTTTGAAAGTTGCTGTCCAACTCCATCCTCCACAAAACACTGGCTAAAGATACAGATAAAATAATGGTTCAGCTCTGTGGCTTTATTTAGACATGCATTCTGTCTCTTTTCATTTTCCCCCTGCTGTCTTGTTTATATCTTGATTCTAGAACAGAACTTCTCACATAGAAAGCATTCAATAAATAGTGAATGAACACATATATGTTACAGAAACATACTTGTGCTGCTCTCATGACAACAAATTCCCTGCTTGTCAATAGGAACACAGTTGGCAAGGTTCAAGGGCAGCTGCTCAAGATGTGTGAGGTGCACTTTATCCGTGCATGTTGAGTAGAAGCCCCTTTATTTTCTTCTATCACCTGAAATTTGACAGAAATCAGGCCTTCCATGAACATGCCTCTGGGAAACATGTGACTGGGAATCACAGAAGACGCTGCACAACATAGCCAGCCACCTAACACACATAATCCAGTGGGTGCCATGAGCCCATTTATGGAGCCTATAAACGGGCAAGCAGGTTTGGAGATAAGCAGAATAAGAGTAGTGACAGCAGGATGCTGTGGACACAGAGCCTAAGAGTGACCAACCTCTGAGGGAACCACAGAAGGTTCAGGAAGGACATTTTAGCAGCAGCATTGTGCACATGAGCATGCCCAGTGGTGCACAGGTGTGGTCCACCAATAGAGGGGAACTCCCCAGCATACCACAACTCTGCAGAAGCCCTTTCTGTCCCATTCGTAGCCAGCTGTAAAGCCATTCCGCCCTCCCTCAGGCAAGCAGCTGGCTGACAGGTCAGTGAGCCGACCCCTAAGGGAGCACCTTGGGTGTTCCAGGTCCTGTGCTAGAGCCAACTCCCAGGCTGAGAAGAAGCACACTGGGGGAGCCCGATGGAGACCACTTACAGAGACACATGGGTCTTCTTGACTCATGAGCTTCTCATTCCTCCTTTTTCCATTGAATAAACAGGTATCTGATGTTCAGTGAGAAAGAGGCCAAGTGATTTGAGTACTGGTGCAGATGTTAGAAGTCACCAACAGGCCTTAACAAGAAATTCAAGAGGAAGGCCTTTTGTATTTGCAGATGTTTCCCTCCTAACAGAGCTTAAATATGGCACGAGTCCATATGGGAGCTCAGATGAGAGTCAAGTTTGTGAAATACTGAGCTTGGTTGGGAATGGCAAGTCTAGCTCCTCAGCTGCCGGTAGGACTCCAAATCTCTCCCTAAAGTCACCCTGTGAGAAGGAAGGGCTTCCTGATTCCATTTCATCAGCATCGTCAAGTAGTTGCAAATGTTTTGTACATGAATTTTAGAACTGAACAAAAACAAGAAAAAGAAATCTCTTCCTGTAAATTGTCAATAGCCCTTAAATCCATACTTGCAAATAAACTTCTCACATGTCCACACACACGTGCAAACCCAGAAGTAATTGTAAAAGCCAAACCTCGACTCTGGTTTTCTAATCTTAATTTATGACGATTGAAATTTCCGTTTCTGACCCTCCCCCTCCCCTGCCCCTGCCTAGATTCCAATGCACTAGTTAGTGGGACAGGAACCTATCAGTCCAGCACCTAAGGGGTCCAGCATGGCTGAAGCTCCACCCATACTCTGAGGAACCTGCCCTGTGTGCCATGATTAATTTCCACCTGGGCAGTAGGACTAATGTACAAGGACAGCCTTCTGAGGGTCACTGCATGTGGGACATTGTGCTAAGCACCTTCAGTCTTCAGAGCTGGCCAGTGCTGCAGAGCCAGCATCATGATCCACGTAGGGACCAGGACACTAGGTCAGAGAGCAGGCTGTGACATGGCCAACGTCACAGGGCTAGGCTTTCATCCAGGCAGTTGGGCCGAGATCCCTGGCTCTCTGCAGCCTCCTGACAAGCACCTAACTGTGTGCAACAGTTCAAAACAGAAAGTCTGTTCACGTCCAAAGCAGGCCCTGAGGGGACGCTGTACCAGGGATCCACTACTGGTCAACGGCCCAGGGAAACTTCACTGATTCAAATAAGATAAGGATGGCTTTACTTTCTCTCTCATCTGTGGGGGTCAGGGGCTTCTCTGGGTGGTTCTCACTCTGGATCCTTCTTGGAGATGCCAGGAGGTGGCTGAAATCTAAGAGCTGGTCACCCCAGGTTTGTGCTTTAGCCACCTGGGGCATGTGCATCTGGGTGGCGGCTCTTCCTTGCTGGGCAGCATGTTGGCTTCAATGTGTTGAACTTGGTACTTGGAGAATCAGTGTCTCAGCCAGGTTTGTGCTTCAGCCTCCTGGGGCAT